GTCATTTAGATAATTGTAATGTTTAATTAAACAGAATGGATAGAATATGCGATTTTTTACATATTTAATTACGTTAAATTCCAATAATATTCTTATACTAAAATATTTTTCAAAATGGCAAGAGTTATTCGAAATTTAGAATAGTTATAAATACTTTCGTCTTTAGTTTTTGTTTATAAACGTAAACGAAAACCTCAATAAATAGATAGGCCTAGTCAATTGCGAAAATATTTTCCATTGTAGGCAATATTGTTTAGTAAAACCTGAAATTACAATTTTACCATTAATTCGATCTCAATTTGTAGTCTAGTATTAACAACATAACACAAACAAATATTTAATTTTTAAACAGGTACTCCAAGCACAGTCTATTTTTCATTCGGAATTTGACCATAAATAATTTCTTAGTAAAATTCTTAGACTAAACTAAGAAAATTCTACTTGAGTTTTTAAACCCAGTAGGCTATATAAGAGAATCTTTCGTTCCCACATTTTTATAAATAAATTATAATGCAAAACTAATTAAAATGTAGTATTAAGTCAAACTTTTTGTTTGAAAAATATCTGAAATTCAGTTTCTACAATTTAATACATACCTAAACAATTTTTGGTGAATATTTTTGACTTTATAAACCGCTACCTCAGTTTAGATGCAAGTGCACTCGGTTTTCGCCGAACGCTGCCCCATAAAGGCTCGGGCCCGGCGTTATGGGCCTCTTTTCCACTTTTATACCCACATTCAAATGTGCACTTTCAGATTCCCTAGCCAGATAAAAAAGATCGGTTTATTACGTCATAGATCGCAGGTCGTTAGGAAGCGGACGTTTTCTTGAGTACTAAATGTGACCCATGTTTGGGACTAGAAAATAAATCTAAGTAGAATACGTGTATCGTTTGAGAATAGGTTAATGAGATGTAGGATTTCTAACAGCCATGTGTAATAAAAGCTGATAAATATTTCTTGAATATTTCTTTATTTGCTGTCTGTAATACAAATTTTAATGTGTTACACAACTTCAATTTGTATACGATAATTGTACGCGATAAAGTCTTGCTTGTATTAAAAACACCATTAATTAGTGAACTTTTAGCTCATAGACTACAAGATACTGAAAATAATTGCATTATGTTTCTCAAACAAAATGTACCATAATTTTAAGGCCTCACATCAACACAAATCAATAGTTGATATATATTTATTCTTTTTAGGGGAAGCTATTTTTGTTATATCTCCCCTGCTTTTGGGTCTAATTTAGCCCTGAAGTCTGACCCCCCCCCCCCCTCTTGGCAACTGTCGGATAATCTAGTGCCTCCCTCACTGCTAAGGCCTCTATGACCCCCCCCCCCCTCCCTAACGACCCCCCTAGTGAGCCCTTCAGGAACTAGTCGGTAATTGCAAACCTAACGATGGAGGAAGAAAGACAAACATCGCAGTTCAGAAATGGAAGATGACTGAATCAAACGATTTACGATTTCTTTGTGATATTTTTTGGGTTAATTAATGATAATAATATGAAGAAAATTCCAAGCTTTGAAACCACTTTGTTATGTTGTTAACTTTGACAATTTTCTAATTTACCAATAATCAAAACGCCGTCCTCTACCAAAATGTGTAAAATTCACCGAATCAGCTAGGCTGGGCTAGTATTTTCATTTGATTATGAATAAACAATCTAATTACATCACTTCAAATATTGATAGATCTCTGTTGCACAATGAATTCCTCCACTTAAACATTTAAAACAAGTATTTTTATCTAGTAGTATAAATACATGTTTAATTAAATTATATTTACTTTCATACAATAGAAGCAATAAAAAAATGTAAAAGCAATGTAGTAGAATCTTAACTAAATTCATGGTAAATATTTTAAAGTTTCAGTGTGTAAGTTTAAATTTTCCACAATTTTTATGTGTGTTTCTGTACCAATGGCAATTAATTTTTAAATTTTGAAAGGGAACGGTCCAAACCCAGGTCTTGTTAACGTTTACCTTTTTGTTAGACAACATCATGAATTCATAGTACAATCTCTCGATTTCAAGCCAAACCACAAGTTACATGAAACCCAAAATTATTAAATTTTTCAAATTTGTTTGTTTCTCATTGTTGTAAAAAGTTGTTCTGAAAATATTCTAAACACAACACAGTACAAATTATTGTGTAGGACACACGCACATTATACACGTACGTATTGTATTGTACTCGTGTAAGCTTGGCTGCCAGCAGAGGCAGAGGTGGCCCCTTCAGAAGCTGAATACAGCACTCACGGCATCGCTGCATTGCGGGCTCTCTTTGTTAGGCGTCTCTCTAAACCACATTCGGGGACACTTACACCGCCTACTGAACCTGCCTCTCATTTGGGGCGCACAAACACCATGTAACTGTGAAATCTGGTTTTAATTATGTCAAATTACAATTAGATTCTGTCGGTGAAACTAATACAACATATTCTATGAGGAACGATTTTATTTTACAGGAAATCTCTCGAATTGAGTTTCATGTTACTTTAAAAACTTGGATAAAGATGTTCAAACGAAGCGATGAAATAAATTGAGTCTCTTAAATGGTTGCTGCAAAGTATGGAATATTGTGGTGTGAAATTCTAAATTTAGTATAATTCAAAATTTGCCTACTAACTAAAAATATATCGGAAAAATAAAATTAAATTAAAAGTGTCTGAATGAATTCGTATTCTCTACCACAATAGTCGATGTATCGTTCACCGGTGAATAAAGAAATTAATATTTCACTTTGTGTTCGCAATCAGAAACGGTCTATATTTTGCTTTTTGCTTTAATAATTTTCACTGGCTTTCCAATATGAAAAGTGTATGTATTGTTTATCAATTAAACTCAGTGTATCAGCTGATTTATAATTTTATTAGTATTGTTGAGTCCCAAATTAAATTTTTAAGTATAAATATTTTGAGCTTTCAACTAAAAACAAACAGGAAACGTCATATAATTCGTTTTGGTTTTCCATCCTAAATCCCCAGTTCACAAAATCCCACACGATCTGCTTTCTGCGCCAAAGGTTTGAAACGTCACTCTTTGTGAATGGACGGAAATCAGACCGATGACGCTATCTATGGTATTGCGGTTGAACTAAGGTTGCCATGGCAACGTGTCAATAGCCCCCCCTCCCCCCGTCGGCGGTGACCTGTCAAACTAGCCCGCGCCGTAGGCTTTTATCGCTTTTGGTACTAGTTTTGTTGCAGCCAGTACAACCCATCACTGTAAAAATATCGATTTTATTATCGCCCATGCGTGCCGAGCCCGCCAGTGCTAATCATGTATAATTTGAAACCAGCTTTCTGCCATCCTATCAGTTATATTAGGTTGTGGTCGGTGGATTTGTGTTTCTGCCCTGATTCCACAACTATTTTATGGGGAGCATTGAATTGGACGCTATACAAGATTCATTTTGTTGGTTTAATATTGGCACTTATGGTAAAATTAAAAACAGTTTTATGTTATATGTTACAAGGATTATTGTAGACATTTTCCATCCCCAGACAAAGGTGTAAAAAGAATAGTTTTGTATTTAATTTCAAATTTTGCCATTTGATTGCAAGAAATGAATTAAAACATAAACCACTAAAAATGAATTATGTTCAAAGAATAGTTTTGCAGTGGAAAATTTTAGTTTTGTATTATGTTATCCAAAAATGATTATATTCTAGTCAGAGAAATATAACACAAATAATGTCCAAATAATTAACCTCGGTAGAAAATGTCACAGCTTAGAACCAATGTTTTCCAAATCATGGTGTCTTAAATGAACAATGAACAGTTATGACATTATTATACAAGAGTAATTTGACGAAGAATGCCACATATTATTTATTTCTTCATATTGGACTTTCTGTCTCTTGTTAATGTCTGTAGAATTTTGATTACTTTTTGCCTGTTGCCTAATTATTTGTTCTTTGTTTAAAGCTAAATTTTGTTATGGTGGGTTTATGGTGTTTTATCGATTATTGCAGATATTTTCCATCACGATTAGTAAAAAAAGTTGTTAACACTGTAATGTGATCCCGTCACCAGTTTGGGAAACAATATATACGCCCGAAACTTCTGCAAAACTTGTTTTTTTTTTACCAACTGTGACAAAAATTTCCAATATAATCAATCAAACATCTTATTCATGATGCACTAACTATGGGTGTCACACTAACTATATTACGTCACAAATATTCGAGTAATTTTGTATTTTAATAGTAAATTAGTATAATCAAGTAACACCCAGGATTAAAGTCGTTTACAATGTACGATTTCAAAATTTAGGTGGTAAATATTTTACAAATTACAATATTTGTTGACTTTGAAAACAAGAGAACTGTAAGGACGTAAAAATTGTGTACATTTACACAATGCTATAAGGATGATATAGAAAATATTAAGATGTTCTTAGGATGTCAGTTGTTGTTTTATATAAGTAGTCTCACTCTACAGTATTTTAGCTACGATTGTATTGTTCATTTGTTCTTTAGAAAGCTTGATTTGCAAACACTAACCGTGCACATTACAGTCCGTAAAATTAAAAATATAGCGTTTATCAATAACCATACAAACTGTAATAAATCTAAAGTTGGATATACAAATTCAGCTTTTACTCCATAGTTTAGAATTACACATGATTGTATAGCTTAAACTTTGCTATGTTTTTAATCCTCTCTTGTGCAATTAACAAAGAAGTAAGTAATTAACTATTTTTTTATAAAGAAAAGCAAAACTTCTAAGATGGATAGTACCATTGACTATACACCTCTAGTACGGTACACAACACAATACATAAATCCCAAAAAAAGTCAAATCCTATCCGAAATTGTATCCAAAGTTATACCAGCTAAAGAATTTCCAACATTTTACAATTTCATGTCAATTTTCAAAATCACTCATTCAACGAGTACTGGAAATTACACAGAATGTATCCCGAGCCCAGTGCTGTATGTTCTTTGTCTAGTAACGGATTCTGTTTGAAGTGTGGCATGTTTGCAGGGAGGAACGGAGAGCTCAGGCTAGGAGAGGGAAGTCCCTCGGATGACGTTGGTATTTGGCCTTACCACAGTTCACTTGGGGGCAAGAAACCAACCCCTCCCACCCCCAGAGACATTCCGGTACGTACATTACACATTACAGTCTACCTCTACCTCACAGGTGAAACACACAGCCAACATTCAATCTTCAATCACAGTCACAGAGTGTTTTACAGACTGTGTGGTTCTGTGAAGTGTTTTTGGTTAATTTTTGTATGGATTTATTGGAGATATTTTACATCTCGTTAGTAAAAAATAAAGTATCTAAAATCGAATCTGTGAAATCTTCATATTAATGGTGATTGTAAACGTCTGAAGTAATCCCTTATGCACTATCACCAGCAATGAACTTTTTACAAAAATACTTGTTTTATTTATTCTTACTTTTATACATTCAGGGATTAATGGTGGATGTTACATTTTGTTATGTTCAATTCAATTTTGAATTGAAAACTTTAATTATTGAAAGAAGAGTTTTAAATTTCCATGTCTATATACTGTTTTATTGAAAGAGATATACAGTAGAAGCCTCCATAAGGAGTCACCCTTGTTAGAAAAAATATTGCTATCGCCCCGCATCCGGGCCGCACCCCCCATAGTGACTCAAATTTTAATAGGAACCTAATACTCTCAATACTATTCTGTTATATTTTTCAGTGGTATAAATTTCAGAGCCAGTTTTTACTTTCTCCCCCTATACAGAAATAATTTGCCTATATGGAAAAAGTGTTGTTTCCGTCAACATTTTATAGTTTGAGTTTCGAGTTGAAATATCCATCTATAGTATTATATAGAATAGTAAAATATTATCCATCAAAAACTCAAACTTGGAAATTTTCACAAAAACAATATTTTCTCCATATCTATCCCCAGAAATTAAAACTACAAATGATAAAAGTAATTCTTCATACAACGTCATAACATTTTTCAGACCGTCATACTAATAACGTCACAGACCCAAATGGAGACTGTTATTTCACATAAAATATTTATATTAAAGATAGTTCTGTTTACAAAAAAATCATACTTTTCTTTGTTGCTTTGTATTGGTGACATACATGTTCGGTAGGTTTGGTAGGTAGTATGTTAGTCAAAAGAGCATGTTAATAAACGTGTCCATTTATTTGCAGAGCTTTTACATTAGTAACAGGATTGTGTCATGATACTACTGTCGCTCTTGCGCTTGTTTGTTTCGGTTTCACGTTATGACACGACACTTTTCAACACTAATTGTGACTGTTTGAGTGTGACAGTATGAGTTTGTTAGGTATTGTTGGTTAAAACATAAAGTTTTCTTTTTTGTGTGAATGTTTCACTGAGCAAATGTATTTTACTGTGTTCAAAATCATACTTTTGAAAATTAAATTTACTTGGTAATGCCAACAAAATGTTTGAGTTACCATTAAATTTTATGTATGATTTATAATTAACTTTTATATTGGTGTAGTAGATTAGATTTCCTAACAAATTGTTAAACCCAGATATTCTGTTTTAACTTGTATAATGTTAAGACAGTCACGAGTCACATATTCTTAAGATGCGTATTTTAAGCTAAATATGAATGCAACAAATTGAAGGTATGGAATAGAATGAGATGTTCTGTGCCGCTTCATTACTGACTAAGATCAACTGTTTCATTAGCCAGAGCAAGGGATCAGGGACAGCTGGGTACATTTTGGAACCATCTTCAAAATCATCATACTAATATCCATAAAATTGCTTTATTTCAGAGTCCTGCAACGCTGCAAGAGACAGGGTCAGTTCACGACGAGACTTCCTCTAGTGGCAATAAGGAAGATGATGACGATGAAGAGGAGGAAATTGATGATCTCAAAACCATGCCTCACGACCCTGAGAGGCTAAAGGCATTCAATGTGAGTCAAAATTGATTTGATCTCTCTTGAGATTAGTGTATTTTGAAATGAACTCCGATGGGTACTCTATCCTGAGCTGAAAATGCATGCTGTTGTTTCAACCTTGGACAAACCTAATATTTTTATTTAGATTGTCTGGGTACTCAAGTACTTCGTGTGCTCCCACTATCTCCGCGTTCCGATATCTCCGAACCCAAATCTGTCCCGCTATCTCCGAATTCTTGAGTGACCCTTATAATCCAGTCACTGACTGCGTTGTTAGCTGTCATTGCATCCACGGCTGCGAAGCCCCGTGGATGGAAGATTTGATGAAAATTTAACCCGTGGGTTAGGTTAGGTTAGGTCAGGTTAGGTTAGGTTAGGTTAGGTTAGGTTAGGTTAGGTTAGGTTAAGTTAAGTTAAGTTAAGTTAGGTTAGGTTAGGTTTGGAAAGTCTAAAAGCAGGAAGTAACCGAGGATTATAGGGGTCACTCTGAAATTCGGAGATAGCGGTACACGGAGATATGGGGACGCGGAGATAGCGGGAGGTAACCAAGTACTTATAGACATACCAGAAACAAAAGAACCCTGGGCCATTTCGAGCTGCGCAGGTTTGAATGGTACGCTACATCTACCGGCGCGAACCACGTGATTTTTTCGTTTCTGCGCAGGCTGTTTTGTTCTTGGGATGTCTATAGTGCTTGTCTTAAAATTTGAAGGTTTGGCTGTTCACAGCATTATAAATTTAAGTTTGCAATTCTTGTATAAAACTATAAAGAGTTTATTTATTATTTTGCCAACGCCAAAAGAATTGGCTGGACCACCAACATTTCTCCGTTCTTGTTCTTACTCTAACTCAAACTCATACTATAATCGTTCATCCTTATTTATTTGATAAAATACATGACATTTTAAATTCTGATTTTGCAGATGTTCGTACGACTCTTCGTTGATGAAAACCTAGACAGAATTGTGCCGATCTCAAAGCAGCCCAAAGAGAAAATCCAAGCGATCATAGACTCGTGTACAAGGCAGTTCCCAGAGTTCGCCGAGAGAGCTCGCAAAAGGATAAGAACTTACCTCAAGTCCTGCCGAAGGAATAAGCGGACACGGGACTCCAACTGGCCTGAATCGGTAATTAGAAGTTTTAGAATAATTTAACATTTGAAATTTTTGAAAAATCAAACCAAACAGATGATTAGACTATTTGATAATAGAAGTGGGAGATGAGATGAATAGTGGAAGAATATTAGGAAAATCGACCTAACAAATTCGGACTAAGTGGAAACTTTGCACAGTTGTTTAGTAAGCCTAAATAAATAAAATTTCAAAAGTCCCCATAAATCCCTGCTGTGCTTCAGCCGCCATCTTGGAAAATGGCGGCACATTTTCACTTTTTTAACAATATTTCACAAACTAATGGTATTAGAGAATTTTTGTAAATACAAAAGTTAAAGAACGTCTAAAAATACATATTTTTTATATTACAAGGTTTGCTCTATCTCTAATGGTTATTGAGATAAATAATAAAAGTTAGGATTAAATAAACAAATTCCCATGTTATTCTTATGAAGGAAAATAAAACTGTTGCAGTTTGCTTATTTATGGATATATTTTTATCAAACTTGGCAAATTTATTTATTTTATACTAAGCTATTAATATTTAACATAAATATACACTTTAGTACCCTCCCTATAGCAGTAAACCTAGTACTCGATAAATTTAAAGTTAATTAAATAGGGAATCTATCTTACATTTTTAGGATATATTTTTAGTAAAAATCCAGTCAGGCAAATGGATATTCATTTTTCGATCATATTAACAATAATTTTTCTTATTAGTACTATGATTTAAAGCCCACTTACTATTTTGTCACTACCATGTAACTACTAAAAACTTAAGTGGTACCTACGTTATTACTCCCGGTATAATTTTTTGTCGGGAAATATTAGGAAATTGAACCTTAAAATCCGGACTAAATTGAAATTTTGCACAGTTAAGCACAGTGAGACTAGTTGATGAAAATGGCAAAAGTTCCCAAAAATGCCGGCTGTGCCTCAGTCGCATTAAGTCCGGATTTTAAGGTTGAATTTCCTAATATTTACCAACAAAATAATTATACCGGGATTAATAAGTAGGCCTACCGTGTAAGTAGTTACATAGTAGTGAAAATATAGTGAGTGAGCTTTAAACTTACTAATATTAATGAGGGAAAACTATTGTTAATATGTCTAAAAAAATAAATTTCCATTTGCCGGACTGGATCATTACTAAAATATATTCTTAAAATGTAAGATAGATTCCCTATTTAAATAACTTTAAATTTAACGAGTACTAGGTTTACTGCTATAGGGAGGGTAATAAAGTGTATATTTATGTTAAATATTAATAGCTTAGTATAAAATAAATAAATTTGCTAAGTTTGATAAAAATATATCCATAAATAAGCAAACTGCAACAATTTTACTTTCCTCCATAATAATAACATGGGAATTGTTTATTTAATACTAACTTTTATTATTTATATCAATAACCATTAGGGATAGAGCAAACCTTGTAATATAAAAAAGATGCATTTTTAGACGTTCTTTAACTTTTGTATTTACAAAAATTCTCTAATACCAATAGTTTGTGAAATATTGTCAAAAAAGTGAAAATTGGCCGCCATTTTCCAAGATGGCGGCTGAAGCACAGCAGGGATTTATGGGGACTTTTGAAATTTTATTTATTTAGGCTTACTAAACAACTGTGCAAAGTTTCCACTTAGTCCGAATTTGTTAGGTCGAATGGCTTTATTATTCCTAAAATTCTTGGACTAGAAGGAGAGTTGAGGAGAAACATGGTGATGCATTTAAATAATACCATTTAACATTTTGTTTACCTATGGATAGTCTAAAGATTCTCTTATCAAATATCTATTTCATTTAATATTTTTGTTCTATGTATATTTACATGAACTCTAATGACAAGCCATCAAAAAGAAACTCATGCTACCTCACCCTTCTTTGCCTTTGACTACACTAAAATCCTGTAAAGAAAAGTAGAGCACAATCCTACTTTAGTCCAAAAAACCATTGAAAGTCTTGATACTTAGATTCTAAAACAATTTCCTCCTTCGATCTGAAAGAAGATATCAGTGTTAAACTCCCATATTAGTAAGTAAATATCACATTTGAAATATTCAAAGGGACTGTAAACAAGAACAAAAAGGACAATAAGATGAACATGAACATGGAACAATAAGATAGCTTGAAGCATTTCAAATTAAACCCTGTTTTAATTTAATGTGTTAGATACATGGATGATTCAGTGGTAAAAGCAAAGAACCTCTCATCATATTTCACAATCAACATATTACCAAGTGGTTTGCAGCCACTCTTACAGTACCCGCAAGCAGTCTGGGCGCACGGTTCCTTCTCCACTAGCCGTCCTGTATACATTTAACTAGCCCACCCCCTCCACCTCGCCTAGCCATGAAGACAGCTGAACCACCTCAGATTTGTGTGGGCTAGATGTTTTTGGAAATGAGCAATAAACACACACCCCTACACCTTGGGTCATAGCGCGGCCACGCGCCCAGACTAAATGCGACTACTGTACTCTCTACCTATTTACAAAACAAGAAGAAGTCTTTCAAGTGAACAGAACTTTTGGGGAACACGCAGTACGATAATTATTATTGTGTTGCTATCTAGAATCGTCCGACGCCTGCGCACCTGACCTCAGTACAGGCGGAGCAAATATTGGCCCAAGCTTGTGAGAATGAGAGTCACAACGCTAAGAGGATGAGGTTGGGACTGGAGCCAGTCAGTCAACCCCCACCAGTCATCCCGGGGGTAAGTGTAGTCGATGTCAGCTTTTGATTATTGAATGAAGTAGACATTCCAATCGCATATTAATCCTTCAAGACCATGGTACGAGTGCAGCTTGTCACAGCATTTTATGTCTTTCTGCTAAACCACTGGCGAATAGTAGTCGAATCTCACCTATGATTTGCAAGCGCTAGTACAGTCTTTAGTTTAAGCTGGCCAGCCTCGTCTTGCACTAAAATTTGGTCATCAATTGTAAATGTCAATGTTTTGACTCTGAAGTATACAGGTTTGGTACATGTAATAAGCAATACATATTAAGCTAATGTGTAGCTTAGCGGTTTTGGAGGGCCCATAGTGTGTGGCGAGGGTGGAAGTAGACACCCTCAGTGGTAAAGCTGAACTTTTACAATATCACAGGCAATATAAACATTTAATTATTGCTTTTATTTTTGTTGAATTTGGAGTTATTGTGTGGAAATGCATATCCCACAAAAGATATAAAAGGAAATAGCCAGGGCCGTATTACCCTAATGGCGGACATGGCATTTGCCGGGGGCCTCGGCCTAGGAGTTGGCCTCACTTGGGGCCTAAAATAGTATTTCTTGATCGCCACTGCAGGAGACAATGATGATGATGTCTACACGGCCGAGGGAGATATCCATGATTTTGCCACTATTGCGCAAATGACGATCATGTTATCGAGACTGCAGGATACGGAGATGACTTTTACATGGCCGTAGGAGATGTTCATGATTTTGCCACAATCGCTTCAGACGACATTGACATTTTTGTGACCGCAGAAGACCAAAATGACATTTACTCGGCCGCATGAGAAGTTCATGATTTTTGCCGTTTTCGCGTAAGACGACCATCACGTTTTTGTAACCGCGGAGACAATGATGTTGTCTATTTCTCCGTGGCCACATGTGTAGTTCATGATTCCGCCGCGAACGGAGGAAACTAAGATGACATCTCAGCACCGGTCCCAGACAGCACACTTTCTCCTCAGGACATCCCACGGATATTGCGACAGGATATGCAAGATATCCCATAGTGGTCCTATGGTCAACTTGGGATATCACAGGATATCCACAGGAATGCCTAATGTCCCCGCCCGGGGATGTCCTACGGATAAGCTCACACGCATATCCGTGGGACATCCGAGGTCATCCCAGGGTAGTCCTCAGGAAATTCTCAGGACATATGGGACTACTATGGGATGTCCCTGGGATAAAGTGTGGTCTGGGCCTGAACATAAAAAACACAAAATAATATAGATTTAGTATGAAAAGCTTAATTATAAGTTTAGTAAATTGATTAAATAGTTAATAAACACAAATTTTGAAGGAAAAAACGAGAAAAAAGTTTTGGGCCCAGACGGGTTTCGAACCTGGTACCTTCGCCTTGTGAGCCTCTTACCTTACCTCCTGAGCTATCTGCGCTTGTTGAATATGGGTGTTTTCAAGTGGTTAAAGAGTAGCCGACAGTTGCAATGGTCGCAATACTTAAAATATTTTTGATACTACAGTATAGGCTATATATGATTCTGTTAATCTGTTTAGGCCTCAAGTAGTTGAATTGTTTTTCTGGTAGTTGGAGAGGATACTGGTATTTGAATATAGATATTTAATCACCATTAGATTAGCACTGTAATAATTGATTGTTATATGATTAAAATTAGTTTTTTGTTGTTTTATTAATTTAAAGTTAGAATTAAATTCACATTCCACACAACTATGATAGAACTCTAGTTTTCCTGAACTCAGTGGTAGTAATATGTCAGTAAAGTAAAGTCAACCCTTGCTAGCCATAGTATTAACAAGACATATTTTCAATCTGGGAAACCTTGCAATATCTGGGAAATGCGTGGGAATCTTATTTTTAGAAAAAAAAAACAGACCAAAATTATTTGTTAAATAATAAAGACGGCCCAATTATAAATTCGGAATTACTGAAAATAATTACATCAAGAACAACACTGTAACATATCCAAAATTCAAAAGATTAATTTTTCTAATATTATTTTTTATTTTTCCCATATCCTTTAAATCATCTGTTTTAACTTTGTTTAAAATTAATTTATTGAGTAAATATTTCCTTTTTGTACTAGTGTAAACACAGCCTGAAGATGGAAACCAAGTTTCTGAAAGCACTAGTGAAAAAACAAATTATTATATATTGGCCTTGTTGAACATTTAAATTTAGATATACTGTACATTTCATCAGTGGTAGTATTTTTTTTCTTCAGTTTGTTACCGGGACATTACGGGACATTACAGGATATCCAGTGGATTTTGTACATGTCCCGGGATGTCATGGGACATTCTGGGATATCCTATGGCATTCGTACATATCCCGGGACTTTACAGGATATCCTGAGGTTAACTTACAAATCCCGGGACATTACGGTATATTGTAGGATATCCTGTGGATTTCGTACTCGTCCCGGGATTTTGCGGGGTATCCTGAGGATAGCGTACATATCCCGAGACATTCTCAGGACATATGGGACTACTATGGGATGTCCCTGGGATAAAGTGTGCTGTCTGGGGTGCAAGATGCTAAAAACTATTTCTCCGTGGCCATAGGAGATTTTAATGTTTAATATAGTGTAGTAGCCAGTTTTGTAAACAAATGCATACAATTAAACTTCTAATGTAATTTTTTTACCAAACAAAACTGAAAATTACAACTTGTTGTAAGCTATTGCATCTGGTAAAGTAATATCAAGTACCATAGAATTAAAATTTACAAAGAAAGCTGAATTTTACAGGATCAATATTGGTTCTACGTCGTCCATACAGGTGGAATGTCTACTTCAGTATGCAACAGCCAATGATGTCACTCTGTCTTTGGTACTAAACAATAATCGTTTTTTTTTTACAGTTTATTGGTGGGGGTGAGTTTGTGTTTTGTAAGTACTAGGGCCACTGCATAAAAAAAGTAAAATTTTACATGACAAAATTCAAATCTAGAATGTGATCCCAACAGCAAGTGAGAGGTAGTGAATCACATGTTTATATTATACTTATGTACTTCTGATATATGCAAGCATTAATTTATTTAATTATGCTATAAACTGCGATAAAAGGACCATTAGCTTCTTGAAAATAAATAATATTTAGTTCACCATCAACACTATTACATCTTTACAGAGTGAAACGCCTCCAAGTCGGCCTGCTCACGAGTCGTTCTCTGCAGCAAACCTTGCGTCCAGTGCTGCAAACCAATCAGAGAGCAAGCTGTCACATCAACATCAACATCCCATACACCTCAACAACAACAAACCCGACAGTCCGAACCTGGCCAAAGTGTCGGAACCTACCCCTGCGCCAGCTATCAGGTAAAAACATATCCTTACACTCATATAGTTGGGTAGTTGAATAGATGTAGTGCTCGCCTAGTAATCAGTAGTTATATCCTCCTATCGTGAGAAAAGTCAAAATCTTTTTAAAGGTTCGAAACTGGACCCAGCTGTCCAGCTGTTCATTATTGGGCTTCATAAATTATCCTGGCTAAAGATTCAGCTGATCTCAGTCAGCTATGATCTCATCTATTCACTACTCATTGTTCACTTGTCTTCACTTTAAAATACCCTGATGTGTTCCAGTTGTAAAATTATCACTATAGACCTATCTTTTGATACTCCGTAGAGAGTGTTGTATAATACATTCATTTTGAGGTCTAATAAGAAATCGTAACTACAGTGTATACTTGATTATCAAGCCTTCATAGTTATCCGAACCTCCGTTTTATACAACCCAACGAGTAGAACGATATCACTTGCTATGTGAGGTGACTACGGTATAGTGAACCGCTGTTCCTGACTGTACAGAACTTAGAAAATATGCCCCATACTTTAGACGCCTGCACTTATTTGTTATTGGGTGAGGCTCCTAAGTCTTAGTGCAAACGAAAACCTTGACTCAGTGTATTCTACCATAGACAAATAGAATAAATAGACTGTCAAAGGAAGGTTCCGGCGCCGACCACTAGGAGTGCCGTGTAGTTATGGTGCACACCGCTGCAGGCAAGGAGCGCAGGAGCCGTATGCAACCAGCAGACGCTGCAGCGGTGTGCGCCGTAACTACACGGCAAACCTAGAGGTGGACGCCAGAACTTATGCTAACCGCAGCACAGCTGACGGTCTATATTTATTCTATTTGTCTATGATTCTACTCAGTAGTGGTGTTTTTAAGATGTTGTCAATTTTTAAAATGTAATTATGGATTAGTACGGAAATAAGTTAACCAGTTTTATGTTTACACAATCTAACTTACCAAACTCTGTGATAGGAGGAGTGTGTTCAGTTATGTATTTATGTAACTATTAAATAAATATAGTATTTCAAAAGTTATCGGTAAAACTTTTAATTTTTTTAATAAAGCTAAATAGTTTGATTTTTTGTGTTATTCAAAATTTGATCTTATCCAGCCAGCCCTGTATCTTTATCTTTACATCTAGTGTTGCCCTGTTCCCTACCATCACACCTATGATCATTGATTATATTCACTATTAAATGTTTGCATTGTGGCTCAATTTAAAGTGCAAGTATTTTACTCCATGATTTTTTTCAAACTTTGAAAATTTGTTCGAACCTTTGATGAGCTTTCAACATTAACTTGATATGTTTCAGTTCTATCTCGAGCAGTCCGCTGAATGGTGCTGCCACGTCAACTGCCCCCAGCGCTCTGTTTAGACCAAACTTTGGACCAGCATTCCAACGAGGAGCGGGACCTCAGCCCTTCCCCGGCACTCCGCTGTTCCCCACCCCTCCCTTTGGTGCACCCGGAATGATGCACAACGGTAAGATATCATTCTGATTTTTCAAAATGAAAACCATCTGCAGTCAAACCTGGACAGGCCCGTGAATTAGACAGAAGCCGTTGACAATTTTATAATTAAAAAGAACTTTAATTGAGTTACAGATTGTACTTAAACAAAATAATGTGTTATTTCATTTCTTATACTTGTTATGCTTATTATTACGTCTACTTAGCTTAATCACACCAAACTGGTAGGACAACCATAGCAGACCAAAAAGAGAAAATATACATACTTTTTTAAAGGCTCAATCAACTATCTTACATCTAGCATATTTGACATAGAATTGTTTATGTTACCTACTAATATTTGCTTCTCTCAAGTGATTCAGAGAATCTTATGTATGATTTTGATTTTGTTCATAAAAAACAATGGATATTCCGTAGGCTTAGGGCATCCATGAGATGCATGATTTTATTCAGCAAAAAACAATAACAATGGATTCTCCATCCGTAGGGACTAAATAGTGATAATCTTATTGACTAAATTAGATTTTTTGGTCAAACATATGAGACATATGATTTTATCCAAAGTTACAACAATGGGTTTTCCGTAGGGCCTACAGACCTGAGCATGAAACCCTCCAAGCCGTTGCTGAGTCACAAGCTGAGTCCGCAGGAGATGGCTGCGGTCAGACAACTCATCACGGGCTACAGAGAGTCCGCAGCGTTCCTGCTGCGGTCCGCAGAAGAGTTGGAGCAATTGCTGCTGCAGCAACCGTAACATTCGGTTTTCCCCTTCCTCTACTAAGCTGCGGAGAGCTGGTTGGGGCTGGGGTATAAGAGACTCTTACGGCGGGTGCTGACTAGTGGTGTTTCTGAAGCTGTATCTTACAGTGGCTTCAAATGGCTAAAATGTTGAAAGTGTCGGGAAAACCATGTAACTAGGGGATTTAATGCCCCCTTTAATTGGAATTCAGGGATTGATGGTACTGAAAACTACACGGCTGTCTTTTGACATGGGGTTTAAATTTAATCTGGTTAAATAGTTAGTTAATCTTTGACTTGAACAGAGCTTAATGTTCTCCGTTACTTTTATTGCCACAATCTTACACCTCTAGGCATCATAGGAATTTTTTTTTTATTTTATGTTTTAAAATGTCTTCACTTTACTGACAAAAATGATCTGTATTTTTTGTTTAAATTTAATTACCAACTATCGCGTGATTATTGCTAAACACTAAGTCTTATATTAATCCGTAAAACGATGTAGGGAAATAAATCTGAGTTTGAATTTTCTAAAGCTTACTACAGGCCTATCTAAAATGATTCATTAAATATTAAGTTAATTAAAGTTACAGGTGCTAAAACTTTCTAACGCAATGGAAAACAAATTAATTTAAGAAAAACTTGACTGATGAAATAAAATTGTGTGGGAAGGTAAGTAAAAGAATGTTGAATTTTCATTACTAATTGTGGCAAACCAAAATGAAATATTATTTAGAAGAGGGGTGGATTTAAAATTAAACCCAAAATAACACATATTATGAGATATAAATTTTGTCAAAATTTGCCAGCTTAAGATAAACCTCTTTAATCCTTGTCTGCCTTGATCTAATAAATTGGCCATCTTCTTGCTGTATTTCTGTTAAACTTTATAATAACCAATATGTAGTTGAGTAAAAAACAAAACTCAAAAACTTCGATTTTGGAATTACCACTGGCTTTAGATTGTTGTCTAAATTTAATCTTTAAAATGAATTCTAAATATCAAAAAAGTTATAAAAAGATTATAGTTATTCCAAGGTTAATTTTTTCAATGGCATTGTAAGATAAATTGTTTAAGAGTTTACTTTTTACAGAGGCGACTAAAATATTTAATGTGTTCTCAAACTAAAACTTATTTCTAGGAGGCTTTACTTATCACTTTAGAGTTTGAAAACATTCAGATTCTTTAATTTACTATATTCTACTATTTTAATTTAGTAATTTAAAGTTTCTAAAACAACACTTGATAGAGCAAAATTATTGAAAACCTAAACAATATCCATTTTTTATATTGTTACTTAACTATAAACCATCTAAAAATTTAAAAATGTATCTTAAATTAAGACTTAGACAACTTTTGTATAACATAGCCTACTATTTCATGACATAAACTTAGTCCCTTTCTGGAATGTTCAGTTTCAAAACTACATTTTGAGGTTATCATGGTAAAAACTATCATCATTTATCAATCAATCGACTGTTCAAATATATTCCAATGTCATTAAAAAACAGTACCATGCTTATCAATAAACAACAAACACAAACAACAATAAATCAATTGAAATCGATATACCGGTTGAAAATGTTTATGTTATTGATTCGTCAACAGAAATGGAGTTTACCTGTCCCTGTTTAAAAAATGAATTCTCTTGCCATAATTTATACAGGATGCTCTGAAACACAACCCCCTGCAAACAAAATGCTCATTTAAGGTCACTGTAGAGATACTAGTAATTTAAAGTCAGCACCAGAACTTCACCGATGAAAACAAATGACAACCAAACAAACTTTAACGGAAGACAACACCAAAAGACTGTTAGTAACTGAATTAAGTGTACATTTCAATAAACAAGCACAGATATGTTTTTTGCACAAACGATTTTCATGTATTCGTTTACGTTGTGTGTTTTGTTCCAGTATTACCCTTATGTTATGTTTTACGGGAGTGTGTACGCTCTTTGTTGATTTTGTTATAGAATTTATTGCTATTTTGTAATTTTTTAGTGTTCACAATAAAATCAAAAGGTAGTTGTATCGGATGAATGTTTTATTATAAATCTTCGTGTTCCATGTTTTTATCGGAAGTTAGAATGTTTTAAAATGTCTAGAACAGTCACAACATGTAATGGAAGTCTCGATAGTGTATTTCCTTCAGTCAACAGTTTTGACTTTTGGTTTTATTAGCTTATATCTGGGGGATCCAAAATCAGTTTTCATTTTAAGCTTTGAAAACTAAACTATGCTTTTTGTTTCACTTAAAATGGGTTGTGTTCTGTTTACTATATCACGTTTGTTTAACTTATACTCCTACAACTATCATTATTTTAAACTAGTTAATTTTTAATTCATTATTAGGCCTACTCTAATAGTTGAATATTTTATCAAAACTACAAATACATTCCCTCATAAGTAAATTAGAATGATATCCTGTGAAAAAATAGTAAGGCGCTATATTATTTCATTATTTCACAGGCCAAACATTTCTTATTTTTTCACTGTATTGTGTTAAAGTTGTTACTTTAAAATTGAATTCAAACTGAGTACTGAGTTTTTGATTAGTAAGGGTACTAATATTAAATTGATCAGCAATATTTTTGAAGGCATTTAGGAGGTTATGTTTTTATTTTATTTTGTGATACATCTTATTTATTGACATGTACAAGTACTTAGTATTCAAATATTATAAAAATTTTCTCAATGATCCGACAATTAAAAACTAATTTTGATAAAAAACAACTGAGTTGAAAAGTAAAAAATATTGTTTTATTTTTACATTAATATTTACGATCTTAATTGAGTCAATCACCAACTTTATTTTAGTTGGCTCCTTAAAACATTTAACTTAATAAAATAATTTAAAATTTTCAATTAAAAGTAATTCTGACAATAGCCATACAAGCGTTTCAACACTAACTTCCTATTTGCCTTCAAAACTATCTCTGAAAAAAATATTACTAAAACAATAGTGTTAAAAAAACTAGTTTGAAAAGTTGAATAAATCAAAGCAGGAGGTAACTTAAAAATTTTACCAATGAAATTATGTTTTACCAACATCAATATGTTCCTAAAGTAAAACTGTTTTTTATAAAAATGCAATATCAGCGTATAGCTAGTTCAATAGTTTTATAAATTTTGAATACAATACTAAAAAACATTTTATGCAACATATTTTATTGGAGCTTTCATATACTGTAATTAGAAACAAATCATATCTGTAAACTTGAACAAATTATGGGCATTACGTTTCCAGATTTTCATTCTGTTAGAATTTCATCTTATGACACTGAACCAGAGTAATTTATCAATATTAACAATTAAAGTAATTTTTCTAGTGTCCAATTGTACTAAGAAAACTAAGTATAAACGTAAATAAGTCTTATACAAGTTAACTTCCTATTGTTAAAAATGAAATGTGCTTTTACCAAAAGTTCCTGTAGTATCTTGTTTCTATTGTTGGTCATGGAACGTTTGCTCATTTTTTAATAAAATTAAATCACATTGAAATACTTTAAGACAGGAGTTTACTTACTAGTTAACTAGACAAGAACCTGTGTGTGAAAAAACTACAAGTTAGGCAATTGTTATTAAAAAATCTTACGGATTAAGTGAATCTAAAGTTTTTCTAGACCAATAGATCTGTGTTATATCAAACATTGACACCTTGTTAAACCAACTTCAAATGTAAATACTGTAATATTCGTCGGTTTGAGCCGCCCGGGACCACGCGGGATACTGTCTATTCAATGTATAAACATCCGTAGCGACAGACTTTATTGTAAATAAGATATATGAACAGGGTTTGCCGCGAGTCGTTCCCTACTTGAGTGTTCTCAGTGTTTATAGATTATAAATATTATATATTGTTCTAACTGTATTTTGAAATATATATTGACTTCTCTTTAAATGTATAAATGTGTTGCTTTATTTCTCCTTGTATGGGTGCATTATGTTCATGAGGTAAGGGTTGTTTTTTTTTCTAACAATTGAATTTTGGTAAGGGAAATCTCATTACAGAAGGGTTGTTTACGTTACTGAGATATGTAAAGAAAAGAAAATCTGATACGTCCACTGTATTTTTTAATTTGACATAAGACCTCACTTTATGGGCTAGCTGGGTAATAGCCCAAAGCTCCAAATTTTAGAGCAGCCAATTTATAAAAAATGTGTTTGTACAGAATTGTTTTGATTAGCTCGCTAAAAGTCATATAAAACAGTTTTGATGATTATCAACCTCCGAATAGTCTCAACGCTCATTTTCAATTCCATGTTTAGAGTGATAGAGGAGAATAGCTAAAAGAGGTAAAATATTAACGTCAATGCCTCTTAGAAAATGAAATTAAATCCCTAAATCTTTTGATTACAAAACCTTTTATCAGATATTTAACCATGAAAGTGTAAATGCTTGAGTCGACCTGAGCGAAGACTTACAATGACTTACAATTCCTAATGTCTGGTTTAAAAATTGCTATCTCAAAAGCAATTTGCAAATGGTTTGGTGATTAAACTTTTATTGTTTCATTTTATCAAACCAGTTTTAAAATGTATCACCAGAGTGCCTGATTCACTAATTGACGACTTCAATGAAACAATTTGGTACTATCAAGACTATGTGAACCTTATTAAAAAAATTCTTTTCAACAAAAAAATACTATTAAAAGATATTATTTTTAATTTAGATTTATTTATATAGATACTAAACCAATCAGTATTTTATCAAAAGTAACTATCAAAGATAGGTTTTTATCACTATACAGTATATCCAGTTCATAATAATAAACATCAAAACACCTTCTACACCAAAGAAACTTGACTTAATCGGTCTTCAACTAATCCTCTAGACTATAGATATAAATCTGTAAAAAAGTGTATTAATATAAAATTCATTTGGTTTAATTACTGTAGTTACCTTTTAGAGTAGTAGAGTTATTTTTAAATACTGTTTTAGTTTTAGTGTTTTACCTCTATAGTATTCTTATCATCACCTACCGCCACTAACGGGTAATAGGTTAACTAAAAGCACTTTGTAGTTCCTCTGATTCACAACAGGTAGCGCAGCTCTGTCCGTAACAAGTAGCTAACTACAGAGATATTGGTATAACTACTAAAAGATTACCGCTCGTTAGGAAGGAGTGGAAATGCAGTAAAGTAAAATCGAGTTGAATTAGAAACAATTTCGCACAGACCAAACAAAAATACTTTCCTATAATTGATAGCTGTCTCTAGGAGGAAGATAATCAGGCTATAAAGCATGTCTTATAAAAATAGTTCAAAGATACAAACAATAATATTGATAATATAAAAGAGTATGCCGACCTATCTGCAGCTATTAGAAGGTAGGCTATCCACCCCACCTAAATAAACCTGCAAACTAAGCGAATTTCCATTTGCTCGACTAAATAGTCACAAATATATTTTATCCAACATGCCGGATGTACTTCCTATTTAAATAACATTATGTTCAACTAGTAATTAGAGTTGCTGCTACAGGGAAGATAATAATGAGTGTGTTTTAGTGAAATGACAAAAGCTTAGTATGATATAAAATATTTCTCCAAATCTGATCACAATATATCCAACAAACAAGTTAACTACGGCAGTTTATTTATTCTCTTTGATAATAACTTGTTTTCTTTCTCTTTTTTTCTCTTTTTTAAATTTTTTTGTAACCATTGAGCCAAAAACAACTACTCTTTAATATACTAAATTACTACTTTTTGTACTAACTTAACAAGTGAATTCATTCTTATATACAGTTATTTTCAAATGAGATGTGTCTTTAATTTTAAATGCCTTTCATAAAATATTTAATTGTTATTTCTTTAGGTATATAAAACTGTAAAGTGTAAAGCTCTTTTGTTAGTAATATCCCATACAACAATGTTCTTCCAAACATTTAACGACTGACGAAGTACCTAACGCCTGTACAAATAAACAGATTTGATTAATAAAATTGGAATACGTTGATTTGATTTATTAAATTCGGGGCCCTATTTAATTTGGTATTGATTTTCTTGTTATTTACATAATTAGAGAAGTAATTTAATTGCCTAATAATAGCTAATCTAATCTTTGTTCTGTTAAAATATGAATACATTTTAAACTAATAAAAACGTATTATTATCACTTATAATTTAATTATGAAAGGATAATTTTAGGTATCTCTGTGTCTTTAACATTTGCAAAGTTTCGCACAAGCACAAATTTACATATTCAGTTTTGATAAACATAATGGGCAACTTAGAATACTGCCCCTTGTACAAATACTTTTCGGAAATATCACGTTTCATCTAAGCAATTTGAATTTCTAAAATACTGAACAATAGCCACGTATAGTCAAAAACTGAGTTGAACAACAAATAAACATAGGTCGTTTCATTTCAGACATCAAATGCTGAGGTTAGGTAACCTAGGCATAGGGAATAGAAGAGAGAGAGAGAGGGAGAGGGAGATAGAGAGAGAGAGAGAGAGACTACAGAAAGATAAACGACCCAGTGAGTATTTTTTTACACCCCAGGTGTGCGTGCTATGGGGGAGGATGGCGCGTGCTGGGTTTTTACACCTGGACATCTTCCCTACTCACACACACACGTGTGTATTGAGGCCTACGCACCTCGCATTTCCCGCGTTTTTCCCGGCGAATTTAAAACTGTTTATACACAACCTACGTCTTACATTCAAACACTCGTTCTCTCCTGTTGTTGCATTAAGAGGTGGATATACATGTCTGTATGTACAATTAGGCAGCTTACAAAAAGTAATTTACAAGTAAAAAATCAAAAGTTTTTACCAAATTATGCGAGTTAAATGATTTTCATTTGGGGTGTTAAATATGAAAGATAAATCATTAGAAAAAAAATCAACTTCCACGAGAAACCACTTAAGACTCTTTAATACTGAAAATGTTCAAATATTAATAGAAAATTATAACAATTGAATTTAAAACGAAAAGAGTTTGCATAAAGGGAGTTCAAATAAATATAAGTACCGTACCGGTATTAGATTTGTTTATCATTACTTTTGAAGTATCAACTATACTATGACGAACAATGCTTATTAGATTAAGGTACAGTATTAATAGTTTATAGGTGGTTTTACATATATTTAAAGTAGACTAACATTAATTCTTAAATAATGGTTTACATACCTTCAGTCATATAGATCAAAATAAGTGGATTTCTGCCACTTAGGTTTCAGTACAACCTAGGTCACAGAAACCTACTTATTTAGAAACTGAACCATTATCGGTTCCTAACCAGTTCAGGGACATTTCCACCTATCAATATGTAAAAAAATATTAGTTATTTAAAAAGAAGAATTTTATGTCTGTAAATGCATGCTAAATAAGATCCTATTGATCAGTTTATTTGCATACGAACTATTAAATCGATAGTCTAGCTCTAGCACTTTGTTTGTAACTTACAGAAATCCTAAAACCAAAGACACCATTGTAAACATAACAATACCGCCACCGCAGCAAACCTGCAGACTAAGTGAATTTCCATTTGCCTGATTGGATTTACACTAAAATGTCTCCCCTATTTTAATTACATTTATTAATTACATTTACTAATTACATTTATTCCCTATTTTAATAGTATTAGTGAATACTTAGGTTTGCTGCAACAGGGAGGGTAAAAGTGTTTTTTTTTTATGTTAATAGTTTAGTAACAAACATTTTGATCAAAACATGTTTATAAACAAGCAAACTACAGTTTAATTATTCTCCATACGGATAACATGAGAATTTGAAATTGAAATTTTTTTGGAATTTCCCCCGTAACCATTAGGCGCATAACAACGCTTCAATATACTAAATTATTTGTTTTTTAAGCTCTACAAAATGGTTTGTAAAGAAATCGCTAAATTTTATTTATTTTTTTTGTCAAAAATGGGAATATGAATTTGATCGGAAGGCCTCTAGGGACCTCAAAACGAAAAAGTAAATCGGTCCCGGTTCCAGGTCTCACCATGAGTACTACGGTAATAGCTTATTCCTATATGGGAAATTCGCTAAAATTAAATGACGAGTACGAAATCCCGAGATAAAACGTATTTAAACGTTCATCCGTCCAAACTATAAACTATAAGTTTACTGTGTTCCAAGCGGTTGATTTCAGCCTCAGCCTCACGTATCCTTGCAGATCCTGGCGGTGTGGGAGTCAGAGGGGGGGGGGGAAGGATCAGGACCTGAAGAGAAGGGGGGGGGTAGGACTCAGGACAACTTCAACTCAGCACTTGCAGTCTGTCCGTGCTGTTGTCGTAGTCGTGGTGTGAAGTGTTGTCGCGAAAACTCTTGGATAGTCTTACCACCACATGTGAGTATACCTTTTAGTCAAAATTTTTTAAAATATCAAACCATTTTCTAAGTTTTGACGAGTTTCTAGTTGAGTTTTAAGCCGCGATCGCGCAGACCGCCAACAGATTGTCGCGTAACCTTCAAAGTGTTGCAATATGTTTACGACCGGTTGCGATATCTGTATAACTTTCATAACTTGGACTGGGTTTGTTTAGTTTTTTTTTCTTTGTAAGGTGTAGTTTGTTAGCGAACTCAAACAACGCAAAAACAGTGAAAGAAGTGAACGCGTAATAGGATTTAGGAATTTCAACTCTGGAATATAGCACAGTTTGTTGCGTTGTTAAGTATATTGTTTCTATTTAAAAATCTGGTGGACAATGTATAATGACTAGTGACCTGCAATAAACGGAAATAGGATTTACGTATCTCAAATTTGGAAATGAAGTTTTTTGTTTGTTTAAAATTCTTCTTCGTACTGGAAGGAAAATAATGGATATTGATAGTGAAGAAATGTATCAAGTGTAATTGAATTTTTGTATTTAGAACCTGGAACATAACGAAGTTTGTTTAATTGCTTAACATTTTGTACTATTTCTTTAAATTCTTTGTGGTCGTACTGTGCAGTAAAATAACACAAGCGGTTTGATCCCTTATAGAATTGTCTTACAGAAGGATTGAGACATTTAAAACCTGATGTAAACAAAGCTGAATTTGTTTGGTTTAAACAAAGATTACAAGTAAACAAGGATTGTAAACACAAGACGAAGCTGTAATAAATAATTTCCTATTTTGCAAAGTGAGATGAATATAGACGAATTTACACAAATCTAAATTGCTAATTTGCTAAAAGATGTTGTATTGCTTTCTTTGACATTATTCGTGATTGGTAAATAATAATAGATGTTGATAGATGGGCTTAAACAAGGAATATACTCTGTGTCATAGGATTTAGATGTTGTATTTCACACCGGGGTAAACATGGCGATGTTTATTTAAATTTTTTATTGTTTTTCCTTAAAATTCTTCGTTGTATTTTGAGTGAAAATATCGGGACCGGTTGACCGTTACTCCATAAAGTTCGTAAGGTTCTTACCATAGTAGGATTTAGATTTAGATAATTATTAAATCCTCGTGTAAACAAGACAAAGATTGATTGATTAAAACAAAAGGTGTAATTAAACAGGATAATAACACACCAAGAGTATGCTGTGATCAATTATTTCATCCATAAGACTAAGGGGAAATGTGTACTTTATTTGATTTAAATTGTTAATTGGTGTAATTCAAGGCACTCATTAGAAATATGCCTAATTCCTAATCAATATACAACCGATTTTTAAAGGAAAAAATATTGCACTAATATATACATTATCAAGTAGTTTTTATTATTGCTGGAGAGACTCTAAATGACGAAGTATTTCTTAGAAATCAACATGATACTAATCGAATAAAATATACGACTAAATATATTATTTTGACTTAGAGAGTCTGAGAAAGGTAAAAAAGCTTTTCACTTTGAAAAGTCTTAAGCAAAATTCTTAGCCAAGGAAACCACATTCTTATTGAATAAGGGAAGGAATTTAATTCCTACGAACCAGCAATGACAATAAATATAAGAAACAAAAAAGCGAAGAACCAAGAATGTTCAAAATTTAGTGGTATTTAAAAAAAAACCGTTACAACTCGGTGTGATTATTTACTTTGCCAACAGTTATTTATGAGAAATGTTTTACTTAATTTGATTTAATTCGCGAAAAACAGGGATGTATCAATTTAACCGTTAATTGTTATTCATACACCATACCGGTTTTTGGGAGAGCGAGCTGGTCTAGTCGTTAAAGCGCGGGGCTTCAGTCCCTGAGGTCCCGGGTTCAATCCCGTCTAATCTCAAATGATTTTATCTTTTAGTGATAATGCCGCAACCCCTAGGTTTAGTCTGAATGTGAAAAACAATCCCGGCTCGTGCCTAGCGTCCTAGAAAAAAAAACATACCGGTTTTTGATAATCACAAAGATTTTGTGTCACTTTACATTGCTGTATGAACAGTATTCAAAAACAACATATGTGTAACTGTAAACAAAACTAGCAATATTTTGATTTACTAAATTACGATATACTTCACATTCTAGGTCACAAGTAGATGTAAAACTATATTAAAATACATACCAAGATAACCCTATGTATAAATTACGACTCAAAACCAATCTATGAGAAAATTACGTACACGTTGGCTTAACGTTGAAAATAATATCAGGTGTAAAATATCTTACGCAAACACCAACTGGTCAAACTACACGAAACACAGAAAATTGGAAAACGAATTTATGCTAATGAGTAGAGAATGGCAAAACAAACAGTAGAACGACCTCGACTTAGAACTCAAGACGGCCTTGCCTGATAATTGGTGGTTGCAAGACTCTCAGCTGTTAGCCTTAAATCAGCTGATTAAAACCGCCAACAGCTGTGGACACGGTCCATTGTTGACAAAGACCGCTGAACATAACCAAAATCGCTTGTATGGCAGGAGATTGTAGGTAATTGGTGACTTTTGCGATTGTTTTTTACCTAGATGATTGATAGGTGGAAATAGGACAATTAATTAACACCATATGTTTGTTGTGACATGGCTGTGGTTGGTAGAAAGTTTCCTAATTTTATAGACATTTTCAATAACATAATACATTGTTAGTGATTATGTAACTGATACGGACATAAACCTACTTATTATTATGTACGTACAAACATTTAAATACAATCACAGGATAAATTGCTAACTTAATTTTAAAATTGTACAAAGTGAAAACACATACTGTATATATTTACGTAAAGCAGGCTTACATTGAATATTTAGTCCTTATCAGAATTAAACAGTTTGTGAAGAAATTTATTGACATTTTAAATTGTAACTTGATCAATATTGACTCAATATAAGGGTAACATAACCTAAGCTAACCTGACTTAAACTAACCTAACCAACCTAACCTTAATTCAAATTATGGTAATAAAAAATAACACTCGCATAGCACGACCATAACACCACAATATAAATTACCGATCTGCAATTAGTACCAATTGTAATTACTTTTATAGTAGTCCTGAAAACTATTAAACAAACCAAAACAATCATCATAATTCAATTAAACTGTGACACTAGGAAAGTAGCAATTAATGTTATAACTCAATAGTTTTCAAGATAGCGAAATTTTACAACCTCTCATGCAGGGGGTCGTTAAGAATTGTGCCAAAACCTATAAACTCGCTTCCCACCTCGCACTAAAGCTGGTGATGACTATATCTACAGGCGTGGTCGGAATACGTTTACCGATCGTCAACTTGATTATTTTATTCTTCCCACCGACTCGTATACATTATATATTTACGAGCTTTTCATGGTCGGGATAGCAACAATTAGCGAGGATAAGTGTTAACAGAAACAGTGTTTTAGAAATAATGGTGCAAAACTAAACAGCTGTTTTCCCGTTTGCGTTGATTAACAACAGCTGTTGATGCCAACAATTAAAAGAACACGTGTTTAAAGTTGGTTTTTATATGTTTTGTTTTGGCTATTTGATTACTTAACTGTAAGATATTTGTTTATTGAATGGCCAATACAAAACAAGGAAAGACTTTTTTGTGTCTGAGATTGCTTAAACTTGGGATATTGTGACTGTTTAACATATTATTTTAGGCAATATAACTTTAATTCTCACTACAGTAAGTTACAATTAGTAATCCAGTATTTTCCAAACATATCAACCCTGTTTTTAAAGGTTCAATACTTTCAGTTGTATATGAAAAGTAAACTCTAGCCAGTGAGGTGTGCGGTGTGCATAAGTGGAAGATATGGCAGTGGGATACGAAGATACGAGCTTTTCATGATCGGGATAGCAACAATTAGCGAGGGGGTTGTTAACAGATACACAGTATTTTAGTAATAATGGTGCAAATCTAAACAGCTGTTTTACAGTTTTTATTCATACAGCTCTTGATGCCAACAATGAAAAGAACACCTGTGATATTTGAGTTTATATGGTTATGTTGTGTTTTGGCTATTTGATTAAGTAAGACATTTGTTTATTGAATGGCCATATACAAAAAAGAGGAAAGACTTTTTATGTCTGAGATTGCTTGTACTCAAGATGTTATGACGGTTTAACATATTATTTTATGCAATACAACTTTAATTCTCACTAAGTTAGTATTTAAACGTTCAATACTTTCAGTTGAATATGAAAAGTAAACGCTTGGCATTGAGGAGGTATACATTAGAGGAAGCTATGGATACGGCAGTAGAAGTGTCATTATATTACCCCGCTTTCTCATCGTATGTCTGTTCAAAGAGTGTGGTGTCTCAATTAATCACATTTTGATAGCAAGTAGTGCGGACCATTTAGATAGACCATTATAAAATCATTTGTGAATCCTTAGAGATATACAATAACAAAGGTTTTAGTAGCAGCAGCGAAAAGAAGTGGAATTGTTTCTCCGAGGAACAAGGAATGTTTGTTCATAAAAATACAAATCACGTTGAATGATGTTTGAATCTTGGTTTGTTATTTGTTATTAAAACTTTCAACATAAAGCTATTAAGTTAATGGGATAGAGGATTGTCACTTGTCATTCATTCTTATACTAAAAGATGTTGCCTATTTACCAGCAGAAATAGGTCCATATAAATTACGACTATTTAAAAACAGTAAACCCGATCTTAATGTAAAAGAAAAAAAAGTATCAATAAAATTATAAGGGTTGGGCAACAAATTTTCATGGATTATGTTAGATTCATTTTAATTTTAATTTTAACGGTTGCTCATAGTAGCCTAATTTATAAAAAAAAACTGTACTTATATCTTCGAACTGTGAAATAATAAATGTTAATACCTAAACGATGTTATCGGTAACTAATATCTATTTATCACAAGAGAATAGTGATCGAAATCAATTTGACACAAATAATAAAACTATATTTTAATCAATGCTTTATCTCAAGCGTATTAGTGGAACTACATAACAAAATGA